CCCGCTGCTGGCAAGAGCCCTCAGCAAACACTCACTGGCACCGGCGGCTCCTTGAGGGCCAGCGCTGGGTAAGGCAACGTCACCCTGCAGAAATCTCTGTGTCCCTGCCCCAGCCTGCCTGCTGCAATGCCTGGGGCTCTGCAAGGTTCCCCCAATGGCCAAGGGGAGCAGCCCTTAGGTTGCCAGAGTCCTGGTCCCCGTGCTCCCTCCTGGCGTGTTTGTGCTGCTTCAGCCCACGGTGGTGGCCCCGTCCTGTCCCCATCGGTGCAGGGCTAAGGAGCTCAACCCTGAGGCACAGAGCTGCTGTGAGACTCCCATGCTTTGTCAAGGCTGGTCCTCTCCATCTCCTAGGCCCAAGATGCCCCTTTGCCCAGACCATCCATAAGCCTAAAGTGCTGCTTCTCATCCCAGCGGTGTCTCGTGACGCACCCCACGATCAGCACAGCCCCGTGGAGCTCCCTGCACCCCCACATCCCCTGCCGCCCCCTCGTGCCTCACCAGCCACCACGTCCCCATCTCACCAGGGACCTGGAGAATGCCGGGACAGGGAACATCACCCTCCCAGCCTCACCTTGACGTCCTGCTCGAGGCTGTGGATGAGCTCGCCGTCCACCTGGCCGGTCTGCGCCACGCGCAGGCTTCGGCGCTCGGCCTTGCGCAGCCGGGACTGCAGGATGCGGCAGGGGGTCAGCTGCTGCCGGAGCTCCTGCAGCTGGTACACATCCTCCTCCATGTACACATCCCTCATCTCCAGCATCTCGGCACGCAGCTCCTCGATCTCATCCTGCGGGGAGATGCATGTTAAGAGGGGATGGACCCCACGGCTTGGTCTCCCCTCTTTTCCCCCGCCTCACTGTAGCTCTCCTGCCCTCCTGCACCCCACGGGATGTTTTCACAGAGCTTCAGCCCCTTGGGTCAAGTCCCATCCTTGCAGGAAAAAGGCTCAGAGCCAGCTGGGCATCATCACCCACGGGCAAGTCAGCCACCCAGGGGGGAGAGCCAACACGGGCGCCTATAAATATTTGTGGTAAAAGAAAGAGGAAGGTGGGGGAGGGAGAGGAGCTGCAGGAGCAGCACAGGCGGCAGCCACGGCGAGACAAATGTAGGTCGTCGTTGGAAAAGATGTGTCAGGGAGGCAGGCGAGGGAAGGAGGAGATGGCAGGCGAGGACAGGAGAGGCAACGCGGGGACACAAGCAAGATGCCACCAGTGCTGGGTACCAGAAGCTGCCCCTCGTTTTGCCAACATGCAGCTCTAGCCCAGCTGGGTCCCCCTTCCTCCCTTCCTGGTTTCATCAGCTCTCATGGTAATGAATCTCTCTCAGCCCAGCAGTGCTAGGGGTGACATCCAGCTGCCACCAGTACTGACCCTAAGCTTCCTCCAGGTCTGCAGCACATGGCCACCAAGAGACTCCCTTCAACAGTCACAGCTCCAGTGCCACTTCCATGTCCAGCAGAGCTATGGCCACTGGGGATGCTCAAGGACTGTCCCGTCTGGTCCCTGGGGACACACATGGGCTGCCCAAAGCTCTTTGCACGTCCTCGTGAACATGATCTCAACCCAAAGCCTCCAAGCAAACCCTTCAGCCATTGCACCAGCTGCCCTCCTCCTTGACAAGACCCGGTGGACCCAACATTCCCTGGGAGGCGACGGAGCATCTGCTCTCCTGCCCAAAACCCCACCACTGAACACCCCCACTGCTGCCAGATGCAACTGCCACTTGAGAGGTGAGGGGCTCACACTGCCAGCTGGCATTGTGGCACAACCAAGATGAGGACCTGGCACAGGCAGTGGGGAGGCATAGCCCCTATTCACCCCAGGCAGAGGGGGACAGGACCCCACTGCTCCCGACACTGCCGGTGACAGTGACCCACAGAGCACAGAGCTGGCTCTGCCAGGCGCTGGCACTCACCCCGCCTGGACAAAGCCCCAGCTGCAAGAATTCCCCCAAAAGGCAAAGCTGAGACCAGGGAGGGGGAGCAGCAGCTGCAGGGACAAGTCACAGTCGCTCACTGTTGGCTTTAAACACTACGTGACAAATAAGAAACGTCAATTAGACAATCCCAGATTATCTCCCAGCCCAGGCTGCTGGAGTGGCCACCAGTGTCCTGCTGCCCTCTGCCACTCTGCTTCTTGTTGGGGGTCTCAAGCACAAGAGCTGGGCAGACACAGCCCTGAGATGGGCAACAGGGTGTCCTGGGGGGCAGCCATCTGGGCTGCTCCAGGGACAACTGGAGACTGTCCCCTGAAGAGACATCACTGCAGGCACATTTCAGAACCTCTTCAGGGATGAACTGCCCTGTGACAGCTGCCATGCACCCCGGGGACACACACCCACGGGAAACTCACCACCAGCACTGCTCACCCCACAGGGCAGTGCCACCAGCACGGGGACATCAGCAAAACCCCTATTAAGCCAAAACAGCCCAGGGAGCTGGTTTATGGGATCTGCTCCTTGGGAGCTTCAGGCGCTCTGCGGCTGGGTGGTGGAAAACAACCTTTCACCACCAAAGTCATGGGAATCGTGGCTTGAATATGATTGCAGAGGCACAGGGACCGTCTGCATCCTGCTCCAGGGCTGACCATACTGGCTCCCATTTGCCATGTGGCTTTCCCAGGCAGCAGCTGAGCAGGGCAGGGAGCAGAAACCTTGGAAAGAACCCAAGCAAACCTCGCATTTGCTGGCAGGAAGCCTGGGCTCACCGTGCTAAGAGCTGCTGCTTGTTTATAGCTCGGGTTGTAGCAACCGTTATTTTAGGGGAAGGCTGTGTCTGGTGAGAGCCTGGGCAAAGCTCAGTGGCCCAGCCCCAAGCTGCTCCTTCACGGGGTGCTCCTGGGGAGCACGGCTGGGGGCAGGGGGGTTGCAACAGAGCCAGCAGTGTTGGGGCTGGGAAAGTCGTGCTTCCCTTTGCTCCAGCCTCAGGAATTCACCCACACCCCATAACACCAATAAACCCTTCAAGTGGCAGCAGCCCAGCAGCTGCACCCCCACCCCGAGCTTGGCCCTGGGAGGCAAGTAGTGCTGCTAAGCCATGGTAACTGGATTAGGATTGAAGAGCAAGAACCTGCCAGCAAACGGGAAGAGAGCTTAGGACAGGGAATCTGCTGACCCCTCCATGGCCAGGCTGTGGCAGGCAGAACAGCCCCACAGCATCCAGAGGCAGCACGTGGGGTGCACAGAGACCCCCTGACAGCTTCTGGGGTCTGTGATGGGCACTGAGCCTCACCCTTTGCATCTGCACCTTTCCTGGAGTTGATGCCCATCTTTGCAACATCAAAGCAAAGAAGATCCAGTTAGGGAAAGGGGAGAGCAGGGCCCAGAGTGGAGGGAAACACCCTAGAAACATCTCAAATTCACGGCTGGTTTTGGGAGAATGAAGAATTAGCAGTGCTAAATAAGAGTGTGAAACAGATAGGAGGAGAACAATGCTGAGGATGAGATAAAGGATGTCTCTTCAAAATGACCACACCCATGGGTTGCTCACCACCCTCATCATCTGGGACTCTGCTCAACCACTGCTGCACCCCTGCTCACGCCATCTCTGCAGCAGCAAAGGTTTCATGGGTTTGTTTTTTTTTACACCAGAAGTGTAAAGGGAAAGATGCTGGGGATCTGCAGCCCAGCAGGACATTTTTCAGTGCCCAAGGGACAACAGTGTGCAGAAACAAACATCCCACTTGCATGTGCAGAAGCCAGGCTACCCCTGATGAAGCAACCCAAGAGATAACACACACCCCTTCAACCTTCTCTGAGCAAACCTTGGAGACACAATATCTCCCTGGGGAGGTGATTAAGGAAACTAAGAAGTGGCAAGGAGAGAAGCAAACTGCCTGGTTCCAGTTCCAAACCCCCCCCCCCCCCCCCCTTCAACCTTCTCTGAGCAAACCTTGGAGACACAATATCTCCCTGGGGAGGTGATTAAGGAAACTAAGAAGTGGCAAGGAGAGAAGCAAACTGCCTGGTTCCAGTTCCAACCCCCCCAATGTGCCCCTGCATCCACTGGCAGGGTATCAGCTCTTTCAGGATGGTCAAGACCTGGAAGAGGCTGAGCTTTAAGGTGATGGCCTTGAATGGTGGCACGGCAGGAGGAGACGGCAGAGCACCCCTCCAAATGCAGATTAGATCCACCCCAGGTTGTGGCAGAAGAGTTAAACAAACCCTTGGCTCTCCTGCCCGAGGGGAGCTACAC